CGCCGCCGCGCTTCCCAAGCGGCGCACTATCCAGTGCGCCACCGGGCCGGCCCCTAAATTAAATCATTTTTTAAAATGAAATCTGCATTAGATTTCATTGTGTGAATGTTCCATGGTTTATTGAACTGTTCTTCACTTCAAGGACATTTTATTTATAGTTTGTTTTTACCAAAAAAAAAAAAAAAAAGTTCTGCAAAAAATATCTATATCTTGGCACACTTGCATGACTATATCTCTAGGATAAATTCATAGCTATAAGACTTACACAACGTTGCCAGATTTCACTCCAAAGTCGTGCCTGTTTTTACTCCCAGCAACAGTGTTTGAAAATGTTCCTTTCCCCACACTCCTGGAAATACTAAGTATTATCAATATGTAAGAGTGTTTTAAGTAGATTAAAAGCTTTCTGTTCTCTTTTAATGTCAGAATTAAATAGATCTGACTTATTTTCCCTTTTGGATTACCAACAAACAGTATTTCGGACATACTGGAGTGACGGGTGGCGAAAACCATAAAGCTTAAAACATGTTCAGACTATAGTAGGTGGTACAGTTTTTTGTTTATTTATTGGAAATTAGTTGTTTTCTGCTATTTTTTTCCTATTGATATTTATTTATTTTCCCCTTTATTTTTAAAGGGTTATTGTTTTTCTCCTTGAAGTTGAAATTTGTCAGTGTTGTATAGAAAATAATTTATCTTCACCCCCCAACCCCCAGTGATTTGAAATGATACGGATCAATAACATTCAACAGTTTTGGGTTTTTTTGGGGGTTTTGTTTTGGTGGCTGCTGGTGTACAGGGATTGAATTCTGGACCTTGGTGTTATCAGGATGGCGTACTAACCAAGGTTTTGTTTGTTTTTTAAGGGAGACACCACCAAATAATTCTTGGCCTAATTGTAATTCCCATTTGGAGATAACAATTCCAAAGGACTTGAAACTAAAAGAAACAGAAAAAGCTGATGAAAAACAGTTGATCATAGTAAGTATAGAACTTGACCTTTTTTCTGAAGCATCCTATTTATGCAAGGTGTTAAAGAATAAATTCATCCCTTTTTTCCAGAGAGCCTTTTTGTCATCGTAAATCTTCATTATGGAAAATATTCCTGGTATTATTACAAATCCCCAATATAAATAGAGTCCATTCTTAACAAATAATAATAATTCAGTTTCCATATATTTTTATTTTATTTATCACATATTTTGACTCTTTATTTCACATCTGTTCACTGTCTTAGATATGTCATTTGATCACCATCTTCTTTCAGTAGTTGATTTAAATATTAAAATAAGATGGAGCTTAATACATAATTTTTTTCAAATTTCTTTTTTTAATTTTAAAAATTTTTATTTTTTTTCATTGTACATGTTTATGAGATACAATTTGTTGTTTCAATACATGCATATATTGGATAATGATCCAGTTAGAATAGTTAGCATATGTATTACCTAAGCATTTATCATTTCATTATGGTTACAACATTTAAGATCCTCTTTTCTGGCTCTCTTGAAATATACATTACAATATTATTAGTTATTGTCACCCTAGAGCACCAGAACTTATTCTTCCTATCTAACTAATTTTGTACCAATCTACCAACATTTATCTGCCCACCCCTCACCTCCTTTCCCTGCTTCTAGTAACCACTATTTTACTCTCTCTCTCTCTCTCTCCCTTTTTTTCTTTTTAATTTATTTTTCTTAGTTGACCCATGATAATTGCATATATTTATGAAGTACAGTATGATAGTTGGGTATATATATTCATACTGTGTGCAGTGATCTTATGAGGGCACTTAGTATATCCGTCACCTCAAACATATGTTGCCTCTTTGTGTTGGGAACATTCAACATAATATACATCATAATTTTTAAATTACATTTTACACAAAGATAAACCATAGTTAATTTGAAATAGAACATAAGTACTCTATAGTTTGGTGGCAAGGTGGAAATGAGGGAGGTATTCTCATTGGTTAAACTAATTTGAATGAGTGAAGACAATATAAAAAAAAAAAAGAAAGGAACCCAAAATAATAAGGACATTAATTTAGTTCTAGTCAACATAATCAATAGGAAGTTTTGAGACTGGATGATGGATTCTAACTTTAGTATCAGAGAATAACTTTGTAAGAGTTGTCTGGAAATTTTTCAGAAGGAATAATGAGAGGAAAACTTATTTTTATCATATTTTGTAGTATTTCTATTGTCAAGTCAGTGTGATAATGAATCAAGATTAAACAAATAGAATCTAAAGCTGTACTGGAAACAACAAAGTGTACCTACCCCATAAACATATATAATGAATAAATAAAAAAATAAAAAATAAAGCTGTACTGTCCAGTATGGTAGCTACATATGGCTGTTGAACTCTTGAAATGTTTCTTATCAGAACTGAGATATGCTATAAATACAGAAGATACACACTGCATTTCAACGACTAATACAAAAAAAGAATGTAAAGTTTTGTGGCAACATGGATGAGTTTGCAGGATGTTAAGTAAATAAGCACGGCACAGAAAGAGAAATACCGCATGCTCTCACTCATATGGAAGCTAAGAAAGTTGATCTCATAGAAGTAAAGTAGAATAGTGGTTACTAGAGACAAGTTAAGGTGGTGGTGGGGGATATAAGGAGAGATTGGTTAATGGATACAAAATTACAGCTAGATAGGAGGAATAAGTTACTGTGTTCTGTAGTATTGTAGGGTGACTATAATTAACAACAATTTATTACATATTTTCAAATAGCTAGAAGAGGATTTTGAGTGGTCCCCCCAAAAATAAATGATAAATGTTTGAGGTGGTGAATGTACTAATCATCCTCATTTTTTTTTTTTCTCTTTTGTGACCGGTAAGGGGATCGCAACCCTTGGCTTGGTGTCGCCCACACTGCGCTCAGCCAGTGAGCACACCTGCCATCCCTGTAGAGGATCCGAACCCGCAGTGGGAGCCCCACTACGCTCCCAGCGCTGCACTCTCCCGAGTGAGCCACGGGGTCGGCCCTAATCATCCTTATTTTATCATTTCACATTGTATACATGTATCAAAATATCACACAGTACCTCATAATTATGTACAGTTATGTGTCAATTAAAAACAAAGGAAAAAAAAAAAGTAAAGGGGCCGGCCCATGGCTCACTTGGGAGACTGTGGTGCTGGTAACACAAAGGCCAAGGGTTTGGATCCCTATATGGGTGTGGCCGGTTGGCTCACTTGGGAGAGCATGGTGTTGACAACACCAAGTCAAGGGTTAAGATCCCCTTACCAGTCATCTTTTTTTTTAAAGTAAAGTATTTTACTAATAGTTTTAAAAATATTGAATACATGTTGAAATTGTATTTGGGATATATTTTGTTAAATAAAATGTTATCAAAGTTAGTTTCACCTGTTCTTTCTGCATTCTTTAATATGGCTATTAGAAAATGTAAAATTACATTTGTGGATCACATTTCTGTTGGATAGTGCTGGTCAAGAATCAATGATGATGATAAAAATAATGATGTCAGCTAATACTTTTTGAACGTACACATGTGTGGTCCACTCATATTAACTAATTTAAGCTTTATAGGAAAAGTATGAGACAGGTACTATGTTATCTCCCATTTGTCAGTGAGGAAACTGAGGCAGAAATGCTTTCTCATTCCTATGAAAACTGCCTGCTCGGAGGGAGATTTGTATATCCATGCTCACTGTTCACAGTAGCCAAATGATGGAAGCAAGCTAGGTGTCCATTGATGGATGAATGGATAAACAAAATATGGTGTACATACAGTGGAGGGAGATTTGTATATCCATGCTCACTGTTCACAATAGCCAAATGACGGAAGCAAGCTAGGTGTCCATTGATGGATGAATGGATAAACAAAATATGGTGTACATACAGTGGAATATTATTCAGCCTTAAAAAGGAAGGAAATTCTGATTCATGTTACAACATGGATGAAACTTTAGGGCACTATGCTAAGTGATATGACAGATAGTGTATGATTCTACTTACATGAGATACTAAATTAGTCAGATTCTCAGACAGAAAGTAGAATGGTGGTTGCTGGGGAAGAGGGAAGAATGGGAAGTTGTTATTGGGTATAGAGTTTCTGTTTTGCAAAATGGAGAGAGTTCTGGAGTAGCACGAAACATGAATGTACTTAACATTACTGAATTATACACTTAAAAATGGCTAAGATGGTAGAATTTATGTTATGTATATTTTACCACAGTTACAAGATTTTGTTTTTTTTAAAAAGCTTGAAGTAAATTTTGGGTGACATTTTGTCATTACTTTGAATCCTTTAGGATTTCCTTTTAGTTTTGTACACAATCTTTTATTTGCCATTTGATTTCTCTTTGCTATTTGACCCCAGTTCTAGTTACACTGTTATCTTAGATCCCGTTCTTTTCAGTAATTAGTTCAGTTAAGATTTGCACAATTATAGACGAGAAAGAATAAAGGGATTATATTTTTTTAGTTTATTATTCTTTTTTGGGGGTGGGGGCGAAAACCAAAGGAACATTGTTTATTTACATAAAAAATGTTAAGATAGCTATATAAGTTTTAAACATAATTTATATATTAATTTTTCACAAAATTTTAAAGATAGCTTAGTTTATTATTAAAGTAGATCATATTGCTGAAATTTTCTTGTTGAATAAGGACAAGAATAGAAAACACTTTGAAACAGTTACATACTGTTTTATGGCTCAAGTGTGAATTAGTGGAGTATAGATGATGGTAGTTAGTCTTTCATGCTTATTTAATATAAAGCTAAGAGACAAAAATTAATTTTACCTTTTCTTAAGAGACTCTGGTAACATCAAAATATTCTTTTTAGTATCTACAAACTATCTAAAAGAAAACTATAAAAGAGAACAGACTTTTGAGACATTAAAAAGTTGAGTCTATTTCCTGTAGACTAGCAGTATAATTATTGCAAATATAAAATATATATTTAGTTTTCATTTTTAGAATATTTGCTATTTAGGATTTTAGGACTAAGTTTGTGGTGTTATATATATTTCTCAGTTTCTTTAAATTGTCATATGCTGTGGAACAAGTGAGCAGGTTATCAAAATAGAAATGCCTCTTAAAATGAATAAAATTAAATGTAGATTTCAAAGATTAACATCTTAATTTTTGTAATCAATATTGAATGTTATTCATTATAGTTTAAACAGTTCTTACTTTATGTTCACGTTATAGCCTTAGAGGCTGATGTTCCGGAATAATTCTTTTGGGAAGAAAAAAAACTCATTTGTTTTTTATAAATAGGATGCGGGACAAAAAAGGTTTGGAGCAGTTTCCTGTAATGTTTGTGGAATGCTTTACACAGCTTCAAATCCAGAAGATGAAACACAGCATCTGCTTTTCCATAATCAGTTTATAAGTGCTGTAAAATATGTGGTAAGTGGAATTTGTGAATTCTGAAATGCAAAAATCAGATAATCATAATAAGATGAGTTGCCAGATTTAAGTCACTGAAAATTTAAATCATTTCTGGTTTTAAGAAACAATAATATATACAAAGCACATGCAGTACATATATTGGCTCATTTTAAAACAACCAAACATAAAAACCAGCTAATTTATTTTGGCTGGTTTATGTTGTGGGATTTTTAATTTAAATTATGTTTTTCTAAAGTAATTATTGTACCTCTTCTAAGAAGTAATACTACTTGATTTGAGTATGCTTTTAAAATTTTCCTTTGATTTTAATAATTATTTACTGTTGATGTACCTGTTAAAAATTCATATAGGTTGGCACAGCATTGTATTTGGGTATTGATAATGATATATATTATACCAAATAGGTGGTTTGAGAATTTCCTTTATCTTCTGTTTGCTATCATTAGAGTTTTTCTTTTTAAAACTAAAAAAGAAAAATTCTGGAAGTTTAAGACCTCGTTATTTGTAGTATACCAACAACAAAAAAATCCCACAAATTAAACGTTTTTTAGTATAAAAAAATTTTTTTTAAATGTAAATGCATATTTGGCATAATTGGTATTACTTAATATTTGTTTTTGGAAAAAGCAAGATATTTAGCACTTCTGAACCATTTCAGATATCTTGTGAAAGTAGTAATTTAATGTAATTTCTGTTTACCTCTATCTGAAATGGAATCTGTTTTTATTATTCTATACATGTTACCTTCAGTACTGTACACTCACATTAATAAGACCTCCAGGATATCTGAACTGAGATCACCAATTCATATCATATAGGCCTTTATACAGGCACCAGATATTGGGTTATTTAAAGGTCTTTATTGGCCTCAGTTAAATTCATATATTTACCTTTGGTTGAAGGGTTTGTGTTCATCGTTTCATTCATTTAGTTACCTACCCAGTGTAGGTAGGGTTTTCTTTTTTGGGTTTCCTGCTCTGGTCATCTTTTGTATTCCTTATTTCATCTACTTACTTCAACACGTACATTCCCTCCTACCACTTCACGAAATATAAGGTATGTGTACATAAAATATCTATAGCTAGACATTGATTTATCATTTGAAGTTCTTTTTAAATTCGGCTGTATTAATATCCTTGTGTCTTGAAAAGAACAATAGTTGTATTGGGTAGCTAAATTATAGAATACTTTTGGGACAAAAATATTTCATTTAATTTTATATACATGAACCTGATAGAGGTTAGTTCAAGCCATTTCTATTCAATTTACTTAATTCTGGTGGTCATTTAGTTTCTTAAAATTATAAGAAGATGAGAGTTAAAATGCTTAATTTTTCAATTTAAGGAGAATTCTTACTTTCTGAGAGGAATAGTAAAGAAATCAATCAGGAAACATCTGCTTTGCTCTTCCCAGGTACTAAGAGAAGTTGGTTTTTAGAAGAAGGTGGAGTCATCACCTTCTAAGCAAGTTTTAGTTCTCTTACAAAGCTGAAAAGCAATGTAGCAACCTAGAGAAAATTGATTTTTGCCCCAGCTGACCCCTCCTCCCACACCCTTTGATGGGACAGAGCTATAGGTTATTTTATTTATTTTTGAAATAAGCCCAAGAGAAGGAATTGAGTTTAGCTATTGGCTATTTTTTGCTAACATCAAGGTTATCCTTTTTGCTATTTTCAATTGTAGGCATACATAGACTCTAAAGTAGATACTCCTCCAGAACATTGTAGTGTTCTTTTACAGTGTATGAAGCAAGGATAAAAGCATACCTATCTTAAAAAGATGTTCTGCTGTGATCATAGCTCTAGATTTTGGGTTGTGATATTTAAATATTTATCGGGCACCTCATATTGTGCCTTGCATAGACACATTAAGCACTAGTATTTGACAAAACATCTAATTTTATTTAATGCCAATTTTATCTGTTATATTTGTTTCTTGGTAAGAAGCACTTAGAAAAGAAGTCATTTGGTGCTCTGGCTTTATTTAATTTTAAGTGGGCAAAGTTCAGGAACTGGAAATAAAGTTTTGTTCTAGTTAAAACTATTTAAAAATAGAATATATTAGAAACAATGAGTTTTACTTTATAAATCAAACATTCTTTTGAAAATAATTACCTTTTCCTTAGGGTAGGCTTTTCCCCTAAACAGATTAATTATCTTATGACTATTAGAAATGGCTAAAGTCCTGTTTTCAAAAGTTTAGGATAATTAAATTATAGAGTCATAGTAGAAATTGACGCTCACAGAGCTTGTTTTTGGTTGACCTAAATATTTGTGTTTTCTTTTCCTTATTTCTTATGTGCTCATTGATTCAGTGTAGGGCAGAGTAGGTGGGTACGTCCTTTTCTTTTCCTTCATTTTACCCTAATCTGCCTCATTGACACCATTTGGGGAAATGAATTTTATCTGACTTATTAGAAACTATTTAGGAAGGAGTCTCTTAATCCTTCATGGGGAGACTGGACTCTGATTTAGTCCTAGGAACTACTTCAGTTTCCTCCATGAACTAAAGTACTGTTTCCTAAAGATGTGAAGAGAAAGCAGGAAGAGTTCTCCTCTAGTGCATTGAGCCACATGGGTAGGCCAGGAACTATCAAGAAGGAACTCAGCTGTATTTTGAGCTTTCAGTAATGCAGAAGAGGAATAATGTTTGGCTTCTTTGCAGAAAAACTCCTTACTTAATCCTTCTTTTCCTTTATCATTCTTACCTCCTTTGAATTAATTCACATCTGACTGAATGCTATATGGAGGGCTCTACTTTCAGGGCTATATGATATACTCTTGCCTTTAAGTTTAGGAATAAAGTCTGAAAGAAATGAAAAGTTAACAATAAAAGATTTAAGTAACTATTAAAGCACTAAATCAATATTAAATATTTAATTAAATAAATCATAAATTAGCTTTGCAATTTAAAAGTGATCATTACTTTGGTAGAGCGGTGAGTGATCAAAAGAGGAGTTTGTTTTCATAGGTGGGTGTGGGGATCCCATGGGCACCCTACAGGAGACACTCCCTAGCAATATGGCGCCCTTTTGGGTTCTTCTCCGCTTTAAGCGATCCCTCCGGCGCCAGAATCCAACCTGTCACAAATCGGGACACACACCCCGGTCCAATCCTGTCCAATCAGCTACCGCCCTGTCCACTTCCTACCCAGTCCCAGAACGTGGCTCTCTATAAATAGACGCGCAGTCTTTAAATAAATGGAACTTCTCTGGTGAACCATCAGACCGGGTATCGCTGCCTTTCTTTCAGTGGGGAAGAGTTAAGATAGGATTTTAAAAAATCATCGGTGATTGATAACATAGTACAACTAAAGCATGAGAAAGCTTAACATCTTTGTGGGGAATAATTAGTAGATCTTTTTGATAGAATCAGGATTTTGGTGGGTATGGAGACTAGAAAATTACAATCAGTCAGATACACATGAACAAAATTTTTATTTAGGGAAACCATGCTTCACCTTTCATTTCTTTTATGTGAAATTTGAGTACGTATTAATTTGCTTCTGTATACTTTTTCTGTCTTCCTTTTGAAGATGATTAGGAAAAAGAGAAAAAGGTATTAGAAAAAGAGAAGTGAATTGTAGAGCGGGAATAGAGATTTAAAGTCTTTAAATGGGAAGGCAATCTGAAGCAAATTAGCCTTGGCCTTTAGAACTGTACTGTCATCACTGGGGTGTACGCAACAGGTATATTTGTAGGAGGGTCTCAAAGCCAGGTTTGAGTTTCATTGAGTTTCCCTGCTTAAAGCAAAGGTCTTATGTTGAGAATTGAGAAGTAGTCTTTAGAAACAGGAATAGGAATAAAGATTATCAAACTTTCTATGTCTCAAGCTTCCAAGTTTCTGTTTTTCTATTCCCTGACCCTGATTTTTAATTTTTCTACTTCATTTTGTCTTACAGATCTAGAACATTGTAGTGAATAAATATAGGATGGGAATTGCACTCTCAAATCTTAGAAAGTAATTTTGCTTTGGGATGGAGGCCCATATAGTGGAGGAAAAATGCCTTCAGTATGAATGTTATAAGGAGCACATTTTTTGTTTTTAAAAAGAGTTCACAAACTCTGGGGTGGGGGTAGAGAGGAAGAACCTATAGTTTACCTAGTCGCAAAATCAAATTTCTCCAACCTATTCTTTCTCTAACTTTCTCTATTCCAGAAATGGTACTATCATCTACTCATTTCCTCAAGCTGAAGACTTCAGAATAATCTTTGTTTTCTTTTTACTGTACTCGTTATACTCCATCCTTTAGAAAATCTCACCTTCAGAATAGATCCCAAGTCCTCCCAATTTTGTCATTTCTACCACTGCCACTCCAAAGCAGGCTGTATCATTTCTTCCCTGGACCACCTGTGCAGTGCTTTCCTGACTGGTTTCCTAGCTTCCATTTTTGTTTCCCTACAGTCTATTCTCCATGGTGTCCACAGAAGTCTTTCAAAAACAAATCAGATTGCAACATTCCTCTATTTAAAATTTTCCAGTGAATTCCTATCACATAGAATGAAATCCAGGGTACTTACTATGACATCAAGGCCTCACATATTCTAGTTTCTCTAAACTCATCTCCTTACACTCTTACCCTTACTTGATGTACTCTGCTGATATAGCTCTTTTTGTTCTTAAAACACTCCAAGCATATTCTACTTTTAGTGTATTTTTATTTATTACTTTACCTTTTTCTGGAGTATTTTTCTTTCAGATCTTCACACACTGGCTCTTTTCATTTTGGTCTTAACAATATGTCACGCTTTCAGAGATGCCCTCCCTGACCACCCAGTACTAAATAGCTGCCCCACCTGCATCTTTATTAGTTTTATTTTTTTTTTTAGCTCTTATAATGCTCTGAAAGTTGGTTGTGTTTGTGCCCTACTAGAATAACAGCTTTGTCAAAGCAGAGTCCTTTGATAGTCTTTCATACTAAAGAGTGTCTGCCAATGATTAATAGGGGCTCAACAAATATATTGAATTAAAGAACAAACTTTGTTCTGCCGCTGAACAA